TCCCTCTCTCTCTCCAGCTGTCTCTCTCTGGTCAGCACACGTGCCCTATACAGATCAAAATAATAATAAATAACATTTTTAAAATAATTCTATTTTTTTTAAAAAAAGGTTTTCATTATAGGGCCAGCAGGTGGGATAGTGGTTAAGGCACTGGAATTGCACACGGTTTCAGTCCTAGACCTGGGGGCTTAAAAATCACGTGGGTGCATGTGTGTGTGTACCCAAAGCCCCAAGAGGAGAACAGAGAAGGCACTGCACATGGCCGTGACCCTAGGGAGTGACTGCTGACTGTCCCTTTCTCTTGGTCCTACTCTAGCCAGCACCCTGTGGCAAAAGCGTGGAAAAGAAAGAAGAAAGAAAAAGAAAAAGAAGGAAAGGAGGAAAGGAAGGAAGGGTTGCTTCTTAAAGTCTCTCTTTCTCCCTTCTCTCTTTCTCTTTCTTCCTTCCTTCTCCCTCCCTCTCTCTCTCTTCTTTCTCTTTCTTCCTCCCTTCTCCCTCCCTCCCTCTCTCTCTCTTTCTTCTCTCTTTCTCTTTCTTCCTTCCTTCTCCCTCCCTCCCTCTCTCTCTCTCTTCTCTCTTTCTAAGACTTTCTAGGGAGACAGGGAGAGGGAAAGTGAGAAGTCACCCCCAGGCATGGCCATGCCACAGTACCTCTCCTCTCTTCTCCCCTGGGATTGTGGCGTGCACGTGTGTGTGACTGCTGTGAGTTTCCAGCCACTCACTGCACCTGCAGGGGACATGTCCTGCCAGCAGTGTCCAGCAGCCATAGCGGGAGTGTGGGGACAAGGCTGATGACATGCTGAGGACACTGAGATGGAAAGTCCCGAAGAATGGGGGTCCTGGGTGTGAGTGGAGCTGCTGAGTCCCTGGCCCTAGGACCAGCCAGCAGACAGCTCCTTCTGGACACGCGGACTCCTCCCTGCTCCGGGAGAGATGGGGCCTCCCTTCCTAGCCCCTGAGGGCCTCCTGCCAGACATGCTTGTGCCGTGGGTAGAGCCAAAGAAGGGCGCTGTGGTGATGGGCAGGCGCTGCCGTCCACCCTGAGGGGCCGCCTGTGGCCGTTGTCACCAGATCTGACGTCTGACTGGTCTTTGCAAGCCCAGCACTTAGCACGGCCGGGCTGGGAAGGGCTCAGGCACTGCCAGGGGGTGAGTGAATGCACGTTGGTGTAGCTCAAAGCATGGACTCTCCTGCTCCTGGGAAAGAGGCGGGCTCGTAATGAACACCATTGCTAACATGTCTCAGATCCAGGGAGAGCCACGTGCGCGTCCTGCGGATCCAGGGAGAACCACGTGCGCGTTCTGCCTCTACTTCAGGAGTCTCTCAAGAATCCCCAAACCCGAGAAGCCGCCTTGGCTCCAGTGAGAGAGAAATCTCTCTCTGGATTTCAGCCGTATCCTTGCAGTCCTGGCAACGCAGCAGGGTCTGGGGCCTGTAGGGACAGGCCCCGGGGCGGGAGGCTCGGTGGGCCTGCAGCAGTGAGGCTGCATCTCCACTCTTCTAAACCGGGTACTGCCCTTGCATTGGAGGTGCCTCCTACTGGGAAGTGAGCTTCTAGCCACTCTCCGTAAAGGTGTTCTTAAAGTGGGTCAGCAGATGATGTAATGGCTATGTTGTTGGACTCCCACATAGTTGACCACAGTTCGAGTCCCCGGCCCGGCAGCGTGAAACTCACACCAGGTGCACGCGTCCAGAATCCGGAGAGGAGACCGGAGGAGACGGGGTGCAGGGCGATCTTCCTCCCCGTGGGGGTTATTTTTCGTTTTCTGTCTCAGTGTCTCTCTCTGTCTCTTGGGGGAGCACATGTACCCTATTGCAAAAAGTCTCTCTAAGAAAAAGAAGAAAGTTTGAAATGAAAACAGCTTGAAAATGACATGCTTAAATCCTTGTCTTTAGGGCAGTTCTAATCTCAGCGCCATTGCAAACTCCATTTAAAATGATTTCTCCCACAGAATCACGGCTTTGAAAGATTCATTCATAAACAAACATCTTTGTTAAAATAATAATGGACTTAGCTTCCCAGGAGAGAATGAAGGACCTGAGATTTATTTTTTCTAACCAGAGTCACCCTCCGGGCTGTATTCTGAGTAAACAATTACTTTTTAGCTTCGTGAAAAACTGAAAAGAACTGGAGGATCTGTCGCCCTCTCCACCCCGGGCCCCAGACCCCTGTCCTTACATTCCTCACTGCTAGGACTCCGTGAAACTGGCACCCCAGTGGGCTCCAAAGGCATGCAGTTAGCGAAGCTGCGACCTTCCCGGGGCTCTGGCTGTTTGCTCGCCTCCTTGATGCCATGGGTGGCAGTCACTCCTGCTTCAGGCTCCCCCTGCCTAGGGACAACGAGCCCCAGCTTGCTGTTAGCCAGCCAGTGCCATAGTGCTAAGGAGCTGGATCCCACATGGCCGACTATGCAGTTCAAGTCCCCACCTGCCATCTTGGAAACCATGCCGGTGTGTGTGTGTGTGTGTGCATGCATGTGTGTCCATAGTCCCGAGAGGAGAATGGAGAAGGGATTGTGAAGTGGCCATCCACCCCCCGTGGGATGCTTTCTCACTTTCTCTCTCTGTCTGTCTGGCAAGTGAATGTGCCCTATTGTCCGCCCCCCCTATGAAAAACATCAAAAGATGCAACAGACAAGTTGGCATAGCCAACACCTCTTACCTAAGAAACTGTCTCGAGACTTAGGGTGAGTCCCTCGTCCCCTTAAATGAATCTCCGAGCCATGCCTTGTTCGATCTTGGCGTGGAGCTGGCCCTTTAGGACGGGGGAGTGTTCCCCAGCAAGAGCATAACAAAGCGACAACAGCGTTAGTATTTCCTAGAAGAAAAGGAGCATTTTATTCCCTTATTCATGCCCTAGCACTCTTTGGGGAAAGGATTAGAATAAATAGGAGCCCGGAAATCTGACCTTGGCTGCTGTCAGAAGAGAGAGTCTGGTACCTCTCAACGCCTCACTCAGGCTCGCAGTGTTCCAGGAAGCAGTGCTCGAGTTTCTTCCCCATTCAGCCCTCCCAAAAGCCTGGCCTCCGCGCGGGCATCGCTGCCAGGCACCCTGCCGGTGCCTTCAGCTGCCACTCAAGGCCACGGCCCGCCGAGCCGCCTCACCCTTGGAAGTCTGTCTTACAGCACAGAACAGGTGGAAGGACATTCCGCTGTCGGCTCTGCTGGCATGCCTGGCTCCTTCGGTGCCCGGTGCCAAGAACGACAAGAATCCTTTGTGTATGTTTGGGGTGGGAAAGACCAGAGATTGCTGTGAACGGCAGTCAGCTCGCTGTCCGGCAAGATCCCCAGGGCAGCTGTTCTAACTCCGGCTGCGGCAATTCGACACCGGGCTCTGTTGCTAGGACGGAGGAATGGAAACAGCGAGTCGTTTAAAGACGGATGTCCTCCTGCTAAAGTCACATGTGCTGTGGGCTGACTTAAAGGAAGGCGAGGCCCTGTCATGGGACGGGGACGCCCAGGAAGCAGATTGGGCGACGGGGCTGTGCTCACACTCTCCCTCTCAGCTCTGCTCTCGGGAGGTCGTGGATCTGCTGACGGAAGTGTGAACTGGTCCAAGGTTTGCAATCCGCAGCCCCAGTGAAGACAGGGTACCTTTCCACGTGCCGACACGCACGTTCTCTGAGCGAGCAAGTGAGCTGACCTCTCAGCGGAATTACAAATTCTAATTTGGGAACTTGCCCATTGTCCTTAGCCACAGATTTGAACTCTTGCTTAATTTTTAGTCCTGACACGTACGTGTACACACACACAGCCCTTCTGATTTTTTTGCATAAAACAAAAGTGTTTGTTAGTGATCAACTGGCTGTCATTCACCTTGAGTGACGTTTACTCTCCAGGGGAGACGTAGCTGCAGCTCCTGAAATACATCATTCTCAGGGGCAGATTCTCCGAAGACAGTTACGTGAGGCCTGTCGCTGTGCCGGACCCCCACGCGGTGCCGGACCCCCACTCCGCGCCGGACCCCACTCTGTGCTGGACCCCCACTCCGCGCCGGACCCCCAC